AATTTGGCTCTTTTTACAACATAATGTACTACTTACAACGCATTTTGTTTATATACTGATAGATGACCAACTAATTAGAAGAGGATATTTCAAATCTGCGCATTTTTCTTCGTTTAAGGGAGACTATCATGATCACTGTGAAAAGATGTTTTTGAAACTACATCTTTTGTGGCTAAGGGAAGAACAAAACATTAAGTAAAAGATATTCAACGTTTTTTCTAGTTGACGTTATTACTGTCACAATCGAAGCTTGTGTTTTACCTCCTGGGCCTCCCTGCTCACATCAAGAAACTCCATACGGGCCTTCTCAGCATACAAGCTTTGAAGAGCATACACTAGCTGAATCCTTGCATGCTGATTGAGAACCCAGATATTTGTTTCATCTGAGCATCTTATGAAGTGGTCAACTTCTGGCAAAAGATCACATTTACGATAATAACAATGGTTTCAAACATAACATTCTAGTATGGAAAAAATGCCATTTTACATGCACGCCATGTACAAAATCCGTATCACGGTAGAAAATGGGATGTTATGATCTGGTTTATGACCATTATAGTGGTTTCTCAATTACCAACTATTTAATTCTCAGCCTGAGATATTGTATTTCAAGCGTTCTTGTTGGTTAAATCAATCTTGCTCACCAAATCATATACTAAAGTCTCTCCATGTATGGAAATGATTGCACCAGATGTTAGACAAAGGTTAGTCTTTTGAAGATGCTATAAAGGTTAGGTTACATCTATAAGACGCCAATAAATATCTAATAGGAAATTTCCGAGTTCCAGAGAACCCTCACATTCAAAACGAAGCTAAATGCCCAACTTTCTAAAGAAAATGAGTTTTGCTGGCATGATAATGAAAGATTATTTTCATGTCGAAGGCTTCGCACTTAGCCTAGTCATCAAAAAGAGAAACTTTGATGAGAAAACAGAAGCTGTATATACTTCATACTATTTTTTGCAAATTGCAATTTTTTTAAACTGGTATTTGTATTTATCAAATTTAAAAAGAAGAACTTAAAACGATAAAACTCACTTCTCTCATCCATGAGAATAAGTTTTCGTTCTCCAAATGTGTCATGTGTGCTGGTGTCAGAAATATCTTGCGTATCGTCAGGAAACTCGTACTCTAAGGCTGAGGAGATCCGCTCATCTTCCTCTACAGAAGGCTCTCGGAAGTCATCGGGGTTTTCCTGTTCTTGATCCAGTTTTCGCTTTTTAGTTCTGCATGCAGCAGAGCGGAGATCAATATTTTCACTAAACAAATAAGATCTCAGATCTAGCCTAGGACTTATTTCAACAACCAGGTTTTGCAGCTATTAACTTGTCACTGACAAAAAAAGCAACAGCAGTTACCAACAGCTAGTATAATGCCACAGAAATCACACTGGCCATATGTTTTGCCGTAAGGAGACGAGTTGAAGATCTTGGGGCAAAATAGTGAACGTAGGGCGAACATTTGATGAATATTTGATGGGGTGCACTGGCAGGGGGCGAACTTGCAATGAGGAGAAACGTCAATAAACCTCCCTTTCTACTACGAATTAAGTGTATAATCACTCAAAATAAAGTATGTAAGGCGTCTTACGTTAAAATTTCAAAACGTTTATATGGTCAGATTTGATCCACGATCCAGCATAGCCTACTTTACGATTAACTGTGGACATTTAAGAGGCGAATGTGGTAAATGAGGTGGTATATTAACATTGTAAGACGCCTTATACAATAAAAGATTTGATACAGAGATCTGGAGTAAAGTATGAGTACATTGTTTTTCATGCGCCAGATGAAAATGTTCCGTTGGTAAACAGTTCAACTTGTAAGATTTTTGTTTCACGGCGAAATAGAAATACGTGACGTGATGTTTCTTCACTCACTAAACATTCAAATTTTAAAATGAACTTTCTTCCCAAGCTTATTCCCCAACAATTTCGAAGACTTGTCGAGTGCGTGCCGAAAAGATCGTCAGGCAAGCAAACGTTTGTATAATGCGTTCACGGT